CTTCATTCTTGATAGCTAGTAGACCCAAAGCAGTTCTTTAGAATTTTCCCACATTCTAGCGATAAATGTAAGATGATTACTCCCCCAAAATGTTTTTCAATTCTCAGTACTTAGAATCTTTTGTAATTATCATTGGGGGCGGGTTCTGGAGTGAAGTTGATGGTGGTAAAAGCCCTGATTAAATATTAGGATTTGGATTTGTCCTTGGTTTGATATTTTTAGTTATAATTTTTGTGAATTAGGAATTTTTTATTAATACATGCATTATTTAACTTTTTTAGACCAAGAACAAACGTTAAGTATTCTAAAGGCAAGCTCAAATGTCATAGGAGGATTTAGGATTAGTTTTGAATGTAGGTGATGGTTCTATTTCTTGTTTGTGTGATATGCGGATTGATTGTTTTATTGTATGTATGCCTGTATGTGAATAGGGAAATGTGAATCGAACCTAATGAAATGATTATGTGTGAAAAACTACAGGACTGAACCTACTACTTGACTATGTGGCTATATTGACTATTCGTTATGGTATAGTTGTGATTGTGGTTATGATGATTGCATCGGGGGTCACATTTTGACAAATGTATTGAATAAGGTTTCACGTTCAGACAACATACATTCGACTATGAGTCATATTCCAACACATATATTGGATCAGGTGTCACGTTCCAACACACTAACATTTTGGGTAAAAGTTCCATTAGAGAACTACCAGCTATTATGATGGTTATTTTTACTTGTCATAGATATTGGGAGATTGTATGATGCTCTAAAATGATAAATGACTTGTGTATTACATGTATGTGTGTTGATTGTGTTGTAATTTCTTGTATGTACTAATCTTACTGTATTGACTGCATGGTCCTATCAGTACATCGTGGTTGTGTAGTGATAATGCATTTTCTTGTTCATCGTGTAGTACATGACATATTCAGGAAGCTATTGAAAAAACATGGTTAGAATATCACTGATCGAGACTATATTCAAGGATAATTCAGTTCTTCTAGGTTGCCATGTGTCCTCTTTGGTTTAGTCCATTCCTTTCGGGCTCATAATTTATAGTTGAACTTATAAGTAGGTTAGTTTCGGAGTTGTACCTCTTTTTCTTCAACTCATCGTTAGTAGAGTTTTGGTACCTTGACTTCAGGTTCTAGGGGTTGAATTTCTGCAATAGTTATTTTTATTTGTGTATTTAATGCTTTTGGAGTTTATCAAAACTCCATGTTATTCTGGGTTGCGTACATTTATGTAATGAAGATTGGAAATGGTAAATTAAACGTTATGCGCTCTGAGTTTCTAAATAAGAGGTGGGTAGAACAAAACCATCGAGCCAATTTCCATATATCTCTGCGATCTTTTCGGACGGTTTCCACTTAAGGGTTTTCTTTTCACCTTTTTCCTATTTTACCGAAGCATTGACCATTGTTTTTTCAAACAAGAGGAGCAGAGATGGGCCTTTGAGTAATAGCGATAGAATCAATCAACACATGTGCTTGCAACTCTACTAAATGAAATAACCAACAACAATAAAATGGGTAGATATAGAAAGAACTTCAGGAAAGTGCATAAAAGATTAGAGTTGAATAGAAAAATAAGAATATGACTCCAAGTAAGCAATCACAATAGATCTCGTATTTTACTACAGAAATTCAAATATAAGAAAAAAAATAATATATACGAGATACGTAACTCATGAAGACCATCAATCAATCATTCACATATTTTGTGTCTACTTGTTTAGTAAAATTTTGCAACAACCAAGTTACTTTAATGTTAGACATATAAAAACCAAAATGTACGCTAGATGTTGTATAATTTGCATTGTTACTTGTTTTAAATGTTAGATATGAATAGACAGAGAAACTAGGTATCTAATATATTTTGCAGGAAATGAGATAGTTGTCACTTGACAAAAATAAATATAGTTGTGAATATGTGACACACCAATCAATGGACATTGTAACACAACAAGTACCTGAAATATTATATGCACCCAAGCACATCAAGATTTAATGTTAAAGGAAAGAATACAACTATTGAATGCTATTTTGGATTGAATTTTTTAATTATGATATTTCCTCTTTTCTAAAGCAATTACTATGCAAAAGCTAAATCATATGAATATCTTCTCTCTTTCTAATCTTATACAAGATTCTCGTTCTAATTTGAACTATTTAATTTCTGAAAAAGACTGACATAGCAACAAAAAATATTGTCTCTAGGATCTCAATAAATACGTTCGCCCTCTTTTTTTACCCAATAAATATGTAATTGAATTATATACATGAAATAAAATGTGAGGGCATAAAAATATCATCTTACCTAATTGGCCATGAGAAAAGGGACAACGATCACGGAGGGGCATTGACCTGTTGTCTTCTACTTGATACATATCTTTTTCTTCCAATATATAGGAATCTCAAAATGGACAATATCATTTTCTTTCTTACTAGTCTCAATCATCCTAGGGTCACTTATGTTCCCTGTAGTTTCGGTACTTATTGCAGAACTCTCCCTGTCTATCGACATGTTTGTCATAAATTTTGGAGGACGTTCATGATGAAATTTGCACATGAGCAAATATATAATTTTCCATCATAAAATATATTACAAATTTTCATCCTATGCATTTTTTCCATATCCTCATTCAACTTTATCCTTTACACAGACTAAGATCCTGCTTGTTGGAAGGAGGCTCCCACATATTTTCAACACCATGGGCAAATGTACAATTTTCCATTTGTTTTGACATGTTGGTCTAAGTTTATTTCAAGAATTTAGCACACATACGATTTTTATAACATATATGACATATTCCTTTGGTTTCTTGATGATTTGATGAATTCACTATAGATTTAATACCTCTAAATGTTATATAATCTGACATGTTATCAGAATCTATTGTTCTCTTGAAAAATGGTGCATGCTCAAACTAACGATAGGACTCAAATAAATCATAGTTCATCGGAGAATGAGGCAAAACACCTCCAGCATCACCATCAGAAAATGGGATTGCCATAACACACGGAGGACAACGCGGTTGATAAAAAAACTCATATTTCCTTTTCTGATGTTGATTATTTAAATGAAATCCAGTTCTATTCTTTTCCTCTCTCTAAAAAAGTAAATAATGATTTAAACTTTTAGTAGAAAATAGAGAATTGATAATATATAGAAAATCTTATGTAAAAATTAGATAAAGGAAAATAAGTTAACAATAATAACTAACATATGACAGAGAAACAAAGATACATTTGAAATAACAGAACACAATAAAGGAACATAACAATGACTAAAACACACATTAGTAAACAATAACAAAATATTCAGTGTAATCTTATAAGTGTTTTCTTGAAAGGAAAGGATGCACACAAACCTTTACACTTCCTTTGTGGGTATATAGATTTTTTTACAGAAGACCATCATATTGAAAGAAGAATTTTGCAAGAAGAGGTGATAGAATGATTTTTAAGTAACAGCTCATAGAAACAGAGAAACTACAATCACACTTAAATTGAAAATAAGTTAGGATTGCTTATATGAATTTTCACTATATCATTTAATCTCATCTAATGGCATGACATAGAAAATTAATAAAACACTTCCAAGTAATTATCAAGGCTGAAAAAAAAGAATATATAACAAAACTGAATCCGTTAGCATTCATAAATTGGTTAGGATCTCTTTTAAAAGCTATATATTAATTACAATTAATGTAATTACCGCCCTTGTAATTTTATAACTACACAACATAATAATTACTCAATATGATAATTATAATAACATATCTGTTTTTCATTATGTAATTATTATGTAAATATAGGCGTATGGTTTGGTTGCACAAGTACAATTACAGTTAAATTAAGTTTGAAATAAATTTAATCGTTACAAATTTATGTTAGTACATGAAAAACATGTGTCTTTATAATTGATAGTAAGTAATGATTTTAGGATACATATAGTTTTTCTAAAATATACTAGTTATTAATTATATTTTATTACTAATAATGAAAAAAATTGATATATAATTTTCCAACTAATAAAATTTTAATTCAATTACATAAAATAAGTAAAAGTACACATTTTATACGAAAATCATCAACGAGTTAATTGAACAAATGATAAAATCTACAAATATAATGCCATAAAATAATTCAGATGTTTGACACAAAAAAATATATCAATTGTAGTACAAAATAATTAAAATTGAAACGATAAGCTAAATATATAATCCAATTTTTAATGTAACACTCTTATTTCAAATTCAACAAAATAAAATATAAATTTCAACATGCCTAAAGTAAATATTATTCAAAATAAATAAAAACTTGTCTCTTACCTCAATTTATGATGAAATTCTACTTTTATAACCACCAATCATTAAAAGCCAAATTTGTAAATGACACAATCTCTTTAACGTTAGGAGGTTTAATTTCAAAATAAAAATAATAATATAGTTGTGCTAAATTAATATAGCATGAGGAAAGCAAACCAAGAAGAAAAATGATTTGTAACAATGATAAAAGTAAACACTAAAAACTAAAACAAAGATTGTTAAAGTACATAATCAATATAATCTAAAAAGTGGAGTGTGCAAAATATAGGGGGATCATAGATTTAACACTATCATACCTTTCTGGATACATTTATTATTTATGTGACTGAGTTGCAAGCAAGATTCGTAGAAATAGTTCATGCGATATAAGTAATACAATCATACCTCAATTCTAAACATGTCATTATCGATAATATAAATCTTCAAAGTTTCATGTAAGATAAATTCATGTACTTTCATAGAAAATAAAAAAATTAGTCAACGAAAATAACTCTAGGTTAAAAACAAGAAGGTATGGCGAATTTGAGTTGGATCTTGTTCTTGAATTACTAAATAAAATTTTAATACTTCCAACAAAATTTAAACAGGCAATGGGTCACATATGAAGTCATAAAGATTTTGAGGATAAAATTTAAATAAATAAATGTAAAAAAGAAAAACTCACAAAAGTTGGAAGCTATGACCGCCAATGTAAGCCTTAGTTGAGAAGATAATTTTTTAGAAAAGCGAGACTAAAGTGATGTGTTAAACCCTAAAATTGTCAAACCCCTATGTAGTTTCATAATAAATGATATTTTATGAATTATCCTCTGTAATATTCTTTGATAATTTTCTGGCATGTGGGCTTTCTAAAGGGGCCAACTAAGTTAACATTACTAAATTAACACTAATTTATTAATGATATGAAATAGAGCAAGTTTGAAATTTTTGAACTTGTTTTGTAAATATGTCTTAGTATGTATTGTCAAGGCCCAATCCATCGGGCCATGTGGACACTTATGTACTACCAACTAAGTAGGAGAATCCTCATTTTCAAATAATTAACAACATGCAAAAAATTTACAAAACAAATAGAGAGTAGTAACAATATTTTATAAATAGAATTTCCTTAATACAATTTTGGTTAAGATTGATAAAGTAATTATACCCCAAGGATCTAGTCTAAAAAGTTACAGGAGCTACTAATCGTGAAACTATACATAATAAATAAGGTCATAACTCCCACCATGAGGAAGGAAAGTCAGAAGCTGCTGGAGAATATCTTCGGCTTCACATAATGACACATCATCAACCTGCATCAAGACTATGTCAAGATATAGCAACAGTAGTGTAACACCCAGTATCAAAAATAGTACAAAATGTAGATTTTCACAAGTTCCAAGTGCAAGTGAAGGAGAAAACTACACACTGTCAGTCAACTTATGGTCCATCACTTGACTATGTCGATGGTCTAGCTGACTCCAGTTCTAAGTCACAAACGACGATCGAGCAGTAGGGACCTTCAATTGACTTACGGTTCGTCAATCGACTCCGTCGATTGATCAACTTACTTCCAGTTCTTAGTCGCAAATGACGGTTGACAAGTACGAACCGTCGGTCCACTCCGTCGATTCGCCAGCTGACTTTCAACTCTTTGTCACAAACAACAGTCGACTAGTACAGACAGTCAGTCGACTTATAGTTTGCCAGTGACTCCGACAACTTATAAGTCAGGGTCTTTTGGTCTTTTTCTTGTTCGTTTAACCCCTAAGATACGTCATCTAGACCCTAAATCATGAGATTTTAATTAGTTTATGTTTAGAAAAATAACAAAAACTCACCTAAGTCAAATCATTAATAAAAACTTAGGAAATTAGAAGCAAGAAATGAGAAAAAGGTCAAGAGCCCTAGTTCAAGAATGCAAAAACGCAAACATTTCTTCGTGGGTTTCCTCACTAGGCATGTGGAATTTCACTAGTAGGTTACTTTCACCCATAGGGTCTGTAGTTTTTAGTCAGATTCTTGATTCTCATATCAAGATTAAACTTAGGGTTTCTAGAACTTTCAATATAATATTATGAATTAGTTAGGTATATGTTCCAAATTAGATTACCATGTTATTAATCAGATTATTGCATGAATTTCTTTAGTCCTTGAATTATACATGCTAGGTCAGGTATTTAGTTAGCCAGTTATACATGTCTCTATAATTAATGCATCATTATCAAAATTATTGTTTCACTCTCAGTATGCATGTTCAGTTTTGACCTATCTAGTATTTACGGAAATTCGGTCATAATGTGTTAACAATTTAATTCAATGGGAGTAGCATATTATCGAGTTTGAGTAAGGTTCAGCGTACTCAAATAGTCCCTGAACTACTAGGTAAGTAGGTTTTAAGTCCCCTCTATGAGCATCAGTTTAGTGATCATGCTAGCATGCCTTTTTACATCTGGCAGGGTATATTGGGTCCTTTCGATGGGGTGTATATATCGGACTCCAGATTTACCTCATGTGATCTTATTATCAGTTATTAGTAGATCCCATAGTTCAATTAGATTCTCTTGCATTGACCATTATTACAGTTCTGTTAGAATTCAGTCTTAATATGTTGTTAATTTGGTAATTACATCAAGTTAGCTTATAATTCAGTATATCATTTTCAGAATATTATACTAGCTTTTGTTCTTTTTCAGTTATGTTTTATTTTAGCTTTACTCTATCCTATATGCTCAATACCTTTCAAGTAGTAACACATATGTGTGCTACATCTTCTCGTGGTGCAGGTTCAGGTTCTGAGCATTCAGATCATGCTTAGATAGATTCATGATCTACAATTCAGCAGAATCACTGGTGAATTCTTTATTTTCAAGGAAAATAGTCATGAGTTTTTCATCAGTATTCTAGTCCTTTAGTTTCAGTTGTCGCTAGACTTATTTGGGCCATATCCTGACATTTCTAGTCAATTAGAGCTAGTTTAAGACATACTTAGTTTCAGCTTAGTATTGAGCTAATATTTTTCTTTGTAATAAACTCGTCAATTTCAAATATCTCAGTTATATTATATGGGTTTTCCTCATCTTTTCATTTAAATAGTTTTTAGATTCCATTTTAGTTTATTATCTTCAGTATGCTCATGATCATGCCAACATAGTTATCTTGAGATAACCTGTTGTCCAATATTCCATGTCCGCGTCTTAGAGGTAGCTTGGGGCGTGAAAAGCTTGGTATTAGAGCACTAGGTTTAAGTGTCCTAGGATGTCTGAAAAACTGTACTAAGTAGAGTCCTTTCATGGGTGTGAAGTGCACAACATCTAATTAGAGGGAGGCTATGATGTGTTATAGGAAAAACTTCCCTTTCTTGTTACTTTTATCATGAGTAAGGTATGATCTTATTCCATTATAAATCGACGTTTTACATATTCGATAATGCCTCCTCGTAGAGATAACTCTAAGAATGTGAATGACAGGAATGCAAACACAGCTCCTCCAGTTTGACAGTAGGAAGTCTCCAACGCTGAAATCAGGAATGCCATTCAGATATTTGCTAAGAGTGTCGCCAACAAGAACAATCAGTGGGTTCAAGATCATGTTACTGAAAATGGTAGATCAATAGTAGCTACGGTCTGTGACTTTGTCAGGGTGAGTCCGCGTGAGTTCTTAGGATCACAGACTAGTAATGATCCTCAGAATTTATTTGATAACATCAAGAAGATCTTTGAGGTGATGCAGGTCTCTAGGAATGATCGGGTTTAGTTGGAATCATACAAGTTGAAAGATGTGGATCATATCTTGTACACTCAATGGAAGGAAAATAGGGGTACAAATGCAGCTCCTATTACTTGGGATTACTTTAGTGAGACCTTTCTGGATAGGTTTTTACCAATAGAGTTGAGAGAAACAATGACTGAGGAATTCATGAACTTAAGGTAGGGGAACATAACGGTCCAAGATTATGGGATTAAATTTAACAAACTCTCTAGGTATGCTATTCACATGGTTGCTGGCTCCAGGGATTTGATGAATACATTTTTGTGTGGAGTGTCAGATATGGTTGAAATTAAGTGCAGAAATGCTATGTGAATGGGAGATATGAACATCTTAGGCTTGTGATTCATTCTTAGAAGGTTGAGGGTGATAAGCTTAGGAACATGCCAAGGATAATAAGAAGGCTAGGACTCATAACTATGACTATTCTCAGCAGAAATCAGGTGGTGGAAAATGCTCGTGGAATCAGTAGAAATTTTCAACCCCATCCCATTCATCAACTAGTGTTCCATCCTCCAAGAACAAGTATGATCAGAAGGTTAGGTCACCAGGCTCTAAGCCTTAGAGAAGTGTTTCAGGCACTAAGACTTACCCTACTTTCCCTAAGTTTTGTAAGAACCATCTAGGCGAGTTCCTTGAAGGAAAAGAATGATGTTTTAAATGCGGTCAGCCCGGTCACATGTTGACGGAGTATCCTTCTAGACATGGTCAAAGAGGTGATAATTGTAGAGCCGAATTTACAATTCCAGCAACACAAGTAAGTCGCCCGATTAAGCAAGATAACTCATCTGGTACAGGTGGTAGTCAGCACCAGAACATGTTGTATATCCTTCAAGATCTCCACGATCAAGAAGGTTCTCCTGATATTGTCATTGGTACGTCACAAGTCTTTGACCTTGAAGTTTATGCATTGTTAGATCTAGGGGTTATTCTTTCATTTGTAACTCCTTACATAACAGTCTGATTCATTATTAGTCCAGAAACTCTCTCGGATACTTTCTCAGTCTCTACTCTAGTTATTGACCCAGTTATATCTAAATGGGTATACATAGATTGCCATGTCATAGTCTCTCAGGAAGTCACCTCAGAAGATCTTGTAGAGTTGGAAATTATAGACTTTAATGTCATTCTAGGCATGGGTTGGTTACATTCCTGTTACTCCTCAGTCAATTGTAGAACCATGATTGTTCATTTTTCAGTTTCCAAAGGAACGAATCTTAGAGTGGAATGGTAGTAGCTTAGCTCCTGTGGGTCGATTCATTTTTTAGCTTAAGGCTAGAAACATGATATTGAAGGTTATTCTCTATTATTTAGTTAGGGTTAAGGATTCTATATCTGTAACCCCAACTCTTGAATCAGTTCAAATAGTCAGTGAGTTTCCAGAAGATCTTCCTGGGATTCCTCCTAAAAGGGAAATCGATTTTGAAATTGATCTCCTTCAAGATACCCATCCTATTTCTGTTCCTCATTATAGAATGGCAAAGCAATTGAAAGATAATTTTAAATACCTTCTACATAAGGGCTTTTATCATACCTAGTATTTTCTATGGGGTGCACCTAGTGTTGTTCATAAATAAGAAAGATAGTTCTCTCGGAATGTGCATTGACTATAGACTGTTGAACAAAGGTCAGAATGAAGAAAAGTATCCATCCCTATGATTAATGACTTGTATGATAAACTTGAGGGTGCTAGTCATTTCTGAAATATAGACCTCAGATCGGATTATCATCAACTAAGAGTCAGAGACAGTGACATTCCGTAAACAACCTTTAGAACTCGGTATGGTCATTATGAATTTGTAGTTATGTCATTTGGACTAATCAATGCTGATGAAGGTTTGATGGATTAGGAATTGATGAACGGAGTGTTCAAACAGTACTTGGACTCATTCATTTTCTTCTTTAACGATAGTATCCTTATTTACCCTAGGAAAGAGGAAGAACATCCGAGTCATTTGAGAGTTATT